TATGAATTTCAGATCGGATACCGACAATCTTAGCTCAGTATATCATACATTAATTAAATGAAATAAACATAGAATATTAACTAACACCCGGTATACTGAAGAATTTTGCAAACCAAAAATAAAATCCTCAGAATGCAAAGAAAAATAGCTGAAATCAATATAAACAGTATTTTATTGGCTTTGTGTCCAAAATGGACAAAATTAATACTCCAAATGTATGCCAAGGCTTAAAGCAGCAACAACGCTACACATGTAAGTAAAAATATTTAAGTATCTGAACAAAGAATTCTAGTCTTTTCCTAAATTTGATTGTCCTGACCAATCACCTGTTAGGCCTAATTCATTTTAGAATGTTTTAAAGTATTGCAATTGTGATGTATTTTAATGTGTGATATGATGAGGCTGTTGACGAACTGTGATTGTTTTTTAAATTAATGATTTTTTTTAACTATCTGTTATTTTAGAAAAACTGATGATGGTGGAAAAATACAGCGAAACGTATTTTAATTGATAAATAGAGACAATAAATGACTGAAGACCAGGAATTAATTTTGATTTGGAATTGAAACACAGTCAGGAAAGTATATACAAATTTGCTTTTAATGCCAAAAGAAAGACCACCGTCAATTTTATAGTAGAAACTTGCATTAAAATCGGACTAGATCCTATTTTTTTTTGCCTCCCAGAAATTTTATAAAAATGTATGAGCATGAAGAAATTTTCCTTGAAATGGCACTAGAAACTGTGTTTTCTAGCGGTTTAAACGCGCCTCTAAAAATGAACGATTCCAGGCAAAATTGCACATTCTCTTAAAAAATTGTAAATTCTACTCTGGGCCGCATTTGGAAGTTTCCCAAGATTTAGTAGAGGCACGAATCTGAGGATCGGGAAACTTTCATTGAACTCGCACTGGATTCTGATTTTTTCTGCTGTTTAAACGCGCGTTTAGAAAAGAACGTTTCCAGGCAAAAACGCGCCTCCTTAAAAAATGGTAACTCCTAATCTGGATCACGTACGAATTAGAAATTTCCTGCAAACATAGCAGAGATTGACTCAATATATAAAAAAGCCAAACATTTGCTTGCAATATCAAAAGAAAGAACACGCTCGATTTTATATTAGGCAAAACTTCCATAATAAACATACTTTTAGTTGATTTCTAGTGGTTTTGTTTCTTCTTCTTGCTTTAATTTAACTTCTAGAAGCTTTTATATATAAAACATTTAAAATTCGTTGGTTCTTCAACCAGAATTTACATAGCTGGAAATACTCAAGACTCTGTGTAACTTCGGACAGATTTTAAAGGTTTAATTGAGAACCTGCAGTGGCGAGTGTTCATTAACTTTGTTCATTCCGTGAATAATCTGTTTTCTTCACTGGAAATTGCGTAACATATTTTGCTCACCGCGACCTTTTCCTCCCAAAGCCTTAACCGAGCGCGAATAATTTATTCAGTTATTCAAATTGGCCAACATCTTGTGCCATAGTCATTTGCATAAATACAAAAGTTTTCAATGTCGTTATCGTGGGCGTTGGAACGACAACAAGTCAACTAATAAAAACCAGTGTTTGCCTTACTAATTTAACAACAAATTCGCAAATTGCTTCTTAAATTCCATCGTATTAAAAGCGTGTGAATGCAAATAAGGCGTGTGTTGCCAGTAAACAATTAAAACAGCAAGAGGCCGATTAGTTTATGGCGCTCAAATTTTTGTTGGTTTCCCAGGAAAAACCATTGTGTCAGCAAAATTTGTTTGTTCGCCTATTGAGTAGACGACTAACCCAAAAGAAATTATTTCAATAGTCATCGCCTTAATTGCCATAAATTTCCAACTGATTGTTGTTTGCATGATTATTTTCATATGAAAAACTTCCCGTGCACCTGGACTAACGGGTAGTTTGAAATCAATTTAGGAAGAAAAGTTTGACGGGCTACCGAAACCCATGCGGCTAGATGAGTAGAAGGTTTATCAAAAGTTATTTCCTTCGACGGTCAATTTGTGTAGTACTAGAGCATATGTTTCAAAGCAGCACAGGCGAGGGCAAATTAATGTTTTAAAGTTTTGTCTAAAGAGAACATTGATGAATAAAAACGTTTGAAAACAATAAAAATTATTAACAGCATTCGAGATGTATACAGAGCGGTGATGCCCTGAGGGAATGCAGCCGCTAAAGGAAGTGTTCAATAAAATTAATTTGCCGATAAACGGGCGACCAATCTGACGTGTGGTTAGCAATGAAATTTTTATAAAAAATGAACTGTTTTGAAGAGGAGGAAATTGACAAATAGACACTTTACTGGGTCGTGAAAGTTATGTTTATTTTCCCCAACCATTCGAAGTGAGGATGATTTTTGCTGGAAACGTTCATCGTTCACAGTTTTTAAGCCTGGAAGTTTCACTCAATTTACTGATTAACCATTCAACTATCCCAAAGTGAATGAATCTGCCTAATTTACTGCTAATAGCAGGTACTACGGTTAAACCTAGTTGAATAATTGTGCAGAAAGTGGCATAAAATCGCAATTTTTCTATAAAGACTAATCGTATCATACCAAGGAGTTTCCGGCCTTGATCGCTACTTTGCAATGTACAACATGGAAAAACCATAGGAAAAAAGATAATTTCAGTCACGCGACCCACTGAGGCCGAAACATATGAACAAAACGCTACTTTATTTTGAAAAATAAATAATCGATTGGCTGCTAAAGTTGCAGTATTCAGGTGGCGGTTGCATCTACTGAGCGCGCCTGTTGGAACGTTGGGGAAGTAGGTTGTTTGGAGGTTTAAAGGAACAAAACGGCTGCCACATCAAACATGAGTGTTATTTCCGATTTTATTATAAAAAAAACATAAAAAACACCAAGCAATTGTTAGGCGAATCCAAGCTTATGTGCGTACTATCAATCTA